ACTCAGCAACTAGGAAAACTGGAAGATTGAGATTTTGGAGACATATTCCCACCCCGTGTGTTACCCTTCCGTTTGAGAACTTGCGTACGGACCCCCGAAAAAAATGTGCAAATTTTTTTTACAAAAAGTTACAATATATTATGTAGTTTTTATATTACATTCGTTTCCTCTTCCTCATCACTCGTTACAGTAATCCGGTCTCCTATCCCTCACAATCTAACTTACCAATCTACAAATTCTTTACATCCCTTTCCTCTTCTCAGTCAACGACTTTTTCTAGTGCGCTGTCCGGCGCATTTTGGGTTTTTATCACAGGAAAGGAGGAACATTCCTTCGCTTCCAGGCTGGATCCTTAAGCCCCCACTTTCTTCACTCTGGGTTCTGGTCTCGTCTACGATCGGAAGTGCACTTCTTTCTACATCGGTCATCCTTCAGCTCGATTTTTCTCGTTAACACCCTCGCACCCATCGACTGACCCCAAAGTGGAGTTTGGCAGAACTCCTCCCCACCCCAACACTCCCTAACACCTGTGGTTAGGCCGATTAACAGACATCATTGATTGCTCGCTTCCCTGCGACCGCCCCCCCCCTTCCCCCGCATCACAACGACCACCACATTCAACCAACATTTATTTTTTGGCGGGAAACGATTTCGCGAGGCAGACAAAATAAAAGCTAAAACTTTGCAAGGACATTTTCTGTGCATGTATGACCTAAAGATTTTAAATTCAGCTATCGCGCACGCTTATACCGCGCATGCGGTCACGTCAAAGTTCGCATTTGGCACAGTGCTAACTCGAAAACTAGTCGGAAAACAGTAGCTGAAATTTTGTCAGAGTATTTATCATTTGTATGGGAAATCGTATTCCTAAATTGGGTTTCGATTTGCACTTGCTTCACGGGTTAAGGCGCTTCAAAGATATTGGTAGTGAAGCGGCTATTTCGCTTACCAGGCAAGCTGCGAAGCTGTAACTTTGCAGGGATATTCTATATTCATTTTTGGTCTTCGCCTTGGAGGTGAAGTTGCATACACGCAGACATGATAAATACTGTTTCATTGCAAATCCAAAAGCAAGTGCGTTTTGCAGACATCATAATTCTCTCCTGTCTTTTTTCATATTCGCATTCAATGAACTGGAAAAGTGACCGAACTTCATGCAAAAAATTGGTATCACACCTTGGAGGTCAATGCACCCCAGAGTGCAACATCATCCCAGCCGACGCTTTTTCCTCCTGCATGCGAGAAGAGGCTAAAACACAGCCAGTATGAGTCGGAGTATTAAAGTACATTGCAAGATATCTTTGTATTAGCGATCTGCAAGCTTAGCGCAAAAACGCATGATCTCAGCAACAAGCCTGGTGCGTTGCAGCGTGGGTTGTTTTATTGCTGTTTTTCTTCAGTGTTCATTCGAGTGGTACGGTGATGTGAGATCGTTTGCGGTGCTCTTTGCTAGCTAACTTCATTTGCAGAATGATATCTAATTTTTTGACTAACATCCAGAAATTTTCAGTAGCGGTAGGTAAACTTTTCGTTTGTAACGCTTTTGTACATCAACCAAAAACTTGTCATGGCTAGGTCGTGCATGTCTGCGCGGCTCATATCTTCATCTGTCCCTGCCCGCTTAATTCAAAAATACTGCTAAAATTTTATAATCTTGTGAAATGTGAAAAATTGGAATTTCGAGTGGACTGGTTTTTTGGCTATCCAAATGGCTTCATATCCTCTCTCTTCTTTGAGGACTGTTTTACCAATCGAACATGGCCGCTTCCAAGTTCTGTGCATGAACTGCGAAATTGAAAAAGTGTGATTTTGGGGGTGCATTTTTTGACCGTTTAAGTGACCTCAAGCTAGAACCTCTTTTCCGATCTTCGAG